CTGCGGTGGCCGGGAGCGGTCACTGCACTCCAGTCTGGGTGACAGAGGGAGACTCCAACTGAAAAAAAAAAAATTAGTCTTTCTCCCACTCCTAATTTCAGTAACAACAATTTCTTCTCTCTAAGACACTAGGGTATCCTTATGGGGATAGTTTACACATAGATGGCACCAATATATCTCCTTTATTCATTACATAAATGAGAAAATACTACTTGTGTGTTCACACACTGCTTTTTTGTTTTTTGAGTCAGGGTCACACTCTGTCACACAGGCTGGAGTGCAGTCTCATGATCAATGGCTCACTGCAAACTTGACCTCCTGGGCTCAGGTGATCCTTTCACCTTATCCTGAGTAGCTGGGACTACAGGCACACACCACCATGCCTGGTTGTTTTTTTTAGATTTAGATTGTTTTTTTTTTTTTGTAGCGATGAGATCTCACTATGTTGCTTCAGCTGGTCTTGAACACCTGGGCTCAAGTGATCCTCCCACCGTGGCCTCTCCAAGTGCTGACATTACAGGTGTGAGCTATCATGCCCAGCCAAAAGGAATTGATAGTGGGGGTGATGAGAAACAGTGAGGTGACCATCCATCACTTCTAGTCCTATTTGGTGATATCTTATCCTATTCACACCTGGATTAGAAGACTCTCTTGTTCGCTCCCTTTTTTATTTTTTTGAGCAGGAGCACCTCATTCTGTTGCTCAGTCTGGAGTGCACTGGCAGGATCACAGTTCACCGTAACCTCAAACTCCTGGGCTTAAGCAATCCTCCCGCCTCAGCCTCCTGGGTAGGAGGGACTACAGGCACACTCCACCACACCCAGCTACTTTTTATTTTTATTTATTTATTTATTTATTTTTGAGTCGGAGTCTCACTCTGTCGCCCAGACTGGAGTGCAGTGGCCGCTCCCGGCCACCGCAGCCTCGACCTGCTGGGCTCCGGCGATCCTTCCGCCTCAGCCTTCCGAGTAGCCGGGATTACAGGCATGCGCTACCACGCCCGGCTGATTTTTTGATTTATTGTCGAGATGAGGTCTCGCCACCCAGGCGGGTCTCGAACCCGCGGGCTCAGGCAATCCACTCACCTCAGCCTCCCAAAGGCGCGGGATTACACGCTGAGCCACCGAGCCCGGCTATTTTTATTTTTTGTAGAGATGAGGTCTCACTATGTTGCCCAGGCTGGTCTCGAACTCCTGAGACACTGCCCCCAGTCTACTTTTGTTTTTCTTTTTCTTCTCTTAATGTATATTGAAGGATCAAGGATCATTGCCATCCTAGCACATATTCTTCTGTCTCAAATTTGAAAGATTTTGCTGTTTCTTTCTTTCATCTTTGATAGAATCAACCAGTGAAGCCATCTGAGCCTAGAGCTTTTTTTGTGGGAAGATTTTTAATTATAAATTCAATTTCTTTTTTTTTTTGGCTTGGAGTCTCACTCTGTTGCCCAGACTGGAGTGCAGTGGCACACTCCCGGCCACTGCAGCCTCGATCCGCTGGGCTCCAGTAATCCTTCCGCCTCAGACTTCCAAGTAACTGGAACTACAGGCACGCACTACCATGACCGGCTAGTTTTTATTTATTGTAGAGATGAGGTCTCGCCAAGTTGCCGGGGCTGGTCTCGAACCCGCGGGCTCAGGCAATCTACTCACCTCGGCCTCCCAAAGCAGGGGATTACAGGCTGAGTCACCAAGCCCGGTTAAATTCAATTTCTTTAATAAATATAGGGCTTTCCACATTTTCTGTTTCATCTCGTGTTAGGTTTTATATGTGTTTTTCAGAGAAATTTTATTTCATCTAAGTTGTAAAATCTGTTGGCACAAAATTGATCATAAATACTCTTTCTGTCCTTTTTTTTTTTGAGTTGGAGTCTCACTCTGTCGCCCAGAATGGAGTGTAGCGGCACACTCCTGGCCACCGCAGCCTCGACCTGCTGGGTTCCGGCGATCCTTCCGCCTCAGCCTTCCAAGTGGCTGGAACTACAGGTGCGTGCTACCATGCCCGGCTAATTTTTTGATTTACAGTAGAGATGAGGTCTCGCCGAGTTGCCCAGGCGGGTCTCGAACCCGTGGGCTCAGGCAATCCACTCACCTCAGCCTCCCAAGGTGCAGTATTACAGGCTGAGCCACCAAGCCCAGCTTCTTTTTGTCTTTTTAATGAATTTGTAGTGATAATTCCCCTTAGTTCTTGATATTGGTAAATTCTATTCTCTTTTTTTTCTCATCAGTCTAATCAAGAATTTTATTGGTTTTGTTGGTTTTTTCAAAAAACCAATATTGACTTTGTTAACTTTCTCTACAATTGGCTAATCTGCCTCATTTTTAATATTTGCAGATTGTCCTATTGTATGGATGTCCCATCATTAATGATTCTTCACTTCCCCTGACAGGTTAGCATGAAAATTTGCAATCATAAGGAAAAGTTTAGTTTTTGGTTTTCGGCTCAGAGGAGGTCAAAGTGCAACTTTGTTTGGTCATCCGGAATCCAGGTACATTTGACACCAGCCACCTCCATCACCCCACCTAAGTTTGACCCCAATGAGATCAAAAACCTATACCTGAGGTGCCCCTGGAGTGAAGTCGGTGCCATGTCTGTGCT